CTTTCCCTAGTCTCCGGCCTGTTAGCTTCCTCCATCAGATTTTGAACTCATCAAACCTCCCACATCAGGTGAGCCAGTTCCTTAAAATAAACCTCTCTCTATGCATCCTGTGGGTTCTGTTTCTCTGGAGAGCTTCAATACACCGCTTTTATTTAGGGAGAAAGGAGAGTCATCCAAACATTAAGGAGGGGGCTCTACCCACACTTGGTCCTCTGGAACATCACTGATAAGCCGGTGACACATGTAGATTTGTCCCTAACTCCTCCTCTCAATTCCATGCACAGCCCTGATAACAGACCGTTTCTTTGAAGGCCGTCTGGCGGTCCTGGGGGGAGGCATCACTGACTCGCCCCTGGGACAAGAAGGAGGGCAGCGAGTTCCAGGTGCGCGGGAACCAACGTCCCTATGGTTGGTAACCCAGAGCGGTTTTATTCCATAACTCGCTGGACTTCGGTGTGTTAGTCTCTCTCTCTCCCACTTTTTGAGGGTGAAAATAAAGGAGCTCATCAGTCTACGGCCACGCCACCCTGAAGAAGCCCGATCCCATCTGATCTCGCGAAGCTGAGCAGGGTCGGGCCTGGTTAGTACTTGGATGGGAGACCACCTAGAAAGACCAGGTGCTGTAAGTGTAAAAAATAAAAAAATAAGGGATTGTAAGCTGACAAGGTCCTTGCAATCTGTGAGGTCAACCGAAGGGTTGCCTTGTCTAAAAAAAAAATTAAAAGAGCTCATCAGTATATTTTTTTAAACACTTGAGGAAACAAAAGATTAAAAAGTGTACTGGCAAAGGGGCCCTAAATCATAACATCTGAGTTGCATTTATACACTGTACTATTTGATAAAAATCTTTAGATTGTGGAGAGGCTGCATGTAGGGTCCAGTTCTAAGATTAATTTCTAGACGGAAAGGAAACTGTGATGGTTGCACAGTTATTGACACGTTCACACATCCCTCGTGAGGGAGGACGATGAACAAGAACCCGTTCCCAAGGTGAGTGTCAACTGCGTGTTCCCAGGGTAAGAGCTGTCTGATTTAGCAGTTCAGCGTCCAGGCCAATAAAGGCCAATAAAGACCCGTCCTAATGATGTCACAGTCAACAACCCACTTATGTTGAAGAGTGAATTCTTTTTTTTTTTTTCCATGTGAATCAAAACAAGCCTAGCACAGTAACAGGGAAAGATTTTAGGGAGAGAAAAGTGCCTCCTAGGAGCTAATTACACCGACAGAAACTGGAGTAGAGCACATCGAAATAGCTGCCCGGGTTGGAAAAGCCACCTGGTGGTCTCCAAGTACCCTCGCCGATTCCTTGGCTGTGGGGAGAACGCGGATTATTCTGTAAACAGTAACCAAATAGTACGACAGTCATTGCAGGTGTCGATGGAGTGGAAAGTTGGGGGTTCACATTTGCTACTGGTTTGCAGGCCGGGGTTGGAAAGCCACATATGAGGGCGACCTGGAGTTTTCTACATGAGGCTGAACCGTTAGAGTTGGGGGAATTTCATAAGAGGGAATTTGCACACCGGGGGGCGGGGCGTGCACACGCATAGAGAAAAGACTACACGAGGACACGTCGAGAAGATGGCCATCTGCAAGCCAAGGGGAGGTCTTAGAAGAAACCAGATCTGCTGACACCTTGATCTCGGACTTCTAGCATCCAGAACCGTGGGGAGAGAAATGTCTGGTGTTTAAGCCGCTCGGCCTGTGGCATTTTGAATGGCAGCCTGAGGAAACAAATACACTGCCCTTCTGAAGGCTGCCAGTGCCACATGTGTGGTTTTCTGCACGACTTTCCAGAGCCCACAGGTTGCCTGCTGTGGCTTTGTGCACCCGGAACGCGATGCTGTCTTAAAGAGAGAAAGGAGACAGAAAGAAAGGCTGCGTGACAAAAATACGCAGCAGAGAGCCTGGCGTTCCGCTAGGCGAGACCTCGAACCCAAAATGGCACAGGGGGAGAAGCCACCGGGAGAACTGAGGGGTTCGCGTCCTGCAGGGCCCCTCCACTGTTTTCTGCCCAGCAGCCTTCGTGGAAAGTGCCGTGTGCCTCCCAGCTCAGGTTTCCTACGAGGAAAATGTGCATCACGCTGCCTCATTTTCTGGGGGCATCTATGTGCCCACATATGTCCCATACCCAGAAAGCAGACACTGCCCTATATTAGGATTAAATCGGCCTCCCCACCCACCGCAGAGTTCACGGGCATCTTTAGGAGAACAGCCAGATCATTCCCAGTCTGGCTCGTTTAGACTCTAACTGCACCAGGTGTCAGCAAATCCAGCTCCAAATCCCAGGCAGCCTCTTTGAAAGATACCTTCTGTTTAGGTGGGATAGACATCTGTCTACATAATTAGATTCTAGGGCCTTGGACCGGAAATGTTGCCCCTGTGAGCAGGGTCAGTATCTCAAGGGTCTGAACAGTGCAGGGGAATACTAACTCAGACCAGCCAGACTCTGGAATTCTTGTTGTCAACGTCACTTCTTTGGGTTAAGGCATTAAAGACCCCTGTTAAATAGGATATCGGGGGGCCTTACACATTAAGACATCATCAGCCATTAACACCTCTTTGTGACTTCATCAGAGAAGAGGGACCTCAGACCTGGACTGAGGCAGGGCAGCTGAATTCTGGTGGGAGAAGGAGAAAGAGTCATAGCCTGTGGGGCAGAGGGGAAGGTGGAGAACACAGACGGGTGTGTTGTAGAGGGATGCGGGTAACGAAAAGGATAAAAGATTTCACGAGGAGCACTGCTTGACAATTCTGAACCTGCCAGACCTCCCTATCGGCCCCCTTTTGGTCTGATTGCTCGGATCGTGAGTGTGAGGGCCAGACCAGTTGGCAAGCGCTCAAGTCCAGCTGGGTCTGGGGAAGGAACGTGGCATCTCAGAGCTGGCCTGGGCCTGGGTCCGTGAACTTGGGTGTGCAGAGATGAATACATAGCTGGAACATCACCGCTCCCAGGAAAGGGGAGAGCTGAAGGAATGACTGGCACTCAAGAGGTGGGGCTACACCCATGCTCTCAGCCAATCAGCTTGCCCGCTGGCTCCAGGTTCCTGACACCAACTTGGGGCAGTTAGAGATAACTCTGGGGAAAGCAGGGAGACAACAGGGGCCAAGTGACAACAGTGACGCAGGGGGGCATCTTGGTCCATCAGCCACGGGTCTGGGACTCACAGGCCAGCAGGGGGCTCGGGAGAGGCTGTCTGACTGTCCAGTCCGGGCGAGGCTCAGCACGGGGAGGATGACATCTGGTCATAGTCGGGGCACTTGAGCAAAGCTGGGTAGTTGCTGTTCATCTGCAGGGAGGCGTCGCTGGAGATGTCGGACGGGCTGCGGCCCCGGACCCAGGCATCTGGGTGCAGGAACTGGCCCGAGTAGTCGGAGCAGTTGCTCAGACGTGGGCGGTAAAAGCCGGGGTGAGGCCTGTACATGTCCTCGGCGGTGTACCTCTTCATGAACAAGTACACGGACATCACCCCAGCACTCTACAGTGAGGAGAAAGCAGAGAGCTCACTGCTGGGGGCCTGGCCTTGCTCCCAGCTGGGTCTGCATAGGACACAGCCACGAGAGCCCCTGGAGTGGAGAGCGAAGTGGACTCCAGGGCAGGAGCAGGGCCCTAGGACATCCCGGATGGAGCACTCACGGGAAGGTAAGAGAGTGACACCTTCTGGGGATGAAGGGCCGTAGAGTGGGTGGGTCTGGGATGGGTGTACGGTGTCCTCCTCCCTCTCAGCCCAGGCAGCACGCTGGGCAGCACCCTGCTCCACACCCAGCCGGTCGGAAGGGCCTTACCTCCGTTAAGAGGAAGGAGATGGCAGCGAAGGCAAACGACCACCCGTACTTGTAGTTGAAATAGGTCTCTGCATCCTTGGTCCTGTTGAGCATCTCGTCGTTGATGCTGGAGATGTAGAGCACCAGGCCCACCACGAGAGAGAGGCCTGAGTGGAGGGCAGGGGCTGCTCAGAGAGGAGGCCTGGGGAGTTCGCGGACGGGGCTTGCACCTCCCCTTGGGGTTCAGGAAGAAAGCCACCGGCCTTGAGGTGACAATGCACTCATTTCGGAGAGCAGGTGCTCTCCTTCTGAAGACCCTGTTTAGACTTTTATCCTTCTAGGAAGCAGATAGTTGCAGGTAAAAAAGCTCCCTGTCCAGATACCTCCTGAGCCATCGTAACCCCGATGGAGCTCACCTCACCTGCCCAGTAGACTCACCTGTCAGAAGTACCTGACTGGACCCAGGATCCTGACACCACCTGACTGGACCCCACCCCAGACATTCTGAGTCACCTGTGGGCTGGGGCCCTGGCATTGTATATCTCAAAAGGTCCCCAGGTGTGCTAATGTGAGCTAGTAAGTGGCTTTTGCTAAAATAAGGACCAAAATAGGTTCCCTCGGCAGGAGCAGCCAGGCCTCCGACCCCTGGCTCCAGCGGTGGGGAGTGATATCATTGTGGAGACCAAGCGAGCCATGGTCTGTGTTGCCCACCTGACCACTGGCCGTGGCCCTTTTGAGATCATTAGGCAGGAGAGGTAAGGAGAGTCTGTCCAGATCCTGGCATGCGTTAAATCAGTGGGGCCCAGTGGGGCCCAAACTCCTACTGCCATTATGCAAATGACTGCCTCAGGCATCAGTCTCGTCAATTAGAGACTGTAATTGAATCAGGACATAATTAATTACTGCGCTTTGAGCTGTTCAAGTTTAATTCCATTCACATGATTAAACTAGGGCATCTTGAAAGATGAAAGTTAAAGGAAAATAGATTTGATTCAAGTCTTCCTCAGCACTTAACTCATGTTTGCATCACTGCTGGCCCAGTGGACACTGTCTATTGTCCAGATACCTCCTGAGCCATCGTAATCCCGATGGAGCTTGCATCACTGCTGGCCCAGTGGACACTGTCTATTGCTGTCACTGAAATGACTTCAAGTGGCCTCGTTCAGTCTGAGATCTCTGATCCCGTAGCTTCTGGCTGAAAAACCTCAGGTGCCTCCACGCTACTGCAGAGCCTTGACTATTATGAAGTTCATAGAAGGATAAGGAGCTTAACCCCAGGTTCGTGCCTCTTGGACTCGGTGGGAATATCACCGCGTGGGGGCAAGGTGGTGCTGAGGATGCTCCAAGCGCTCAATAAATATTTGTTGGATTGATGGATGGAGGGGTAGATGAATGGATTAACAGCTGGAAGAGTGGACGGAAGATGGGTGGGTGAGTGGATTAAAAAGATGGCCTGACAGATGGAAGAAAAGATGGTTGGATGGATAGATGGATGGATGGATGGTGGATGGATGGTGGATGGTGGATGGATGGATGAAAAGAGAAAGCACGAGAAGTTCTTTGGCATCAGGCATTCTGATCGCCACCTGGCTCCCAAGCTGTATTGATAAGAAAGTGTTTGGAAAAGGAAACTAAAGTGCCTTGGGACTCAGGTAGCGAGCAGAATGTCTGGTGTCCAACAGCCGTTTATCCTCCTCTCTGTCCATCCATCTATCCGCCCGTCCATTATTAAGCCATCCTTCTACCCGTCTTCCGGCTGAGCAGCTCCTCCCTGGCCCCTCCCTTATCAACACATCTAGGGCTCCAGGGCACCTAAAACACATGCCCTAAGAGTCACTCCTTCTTATTTCCAAAAGAAAAAGTCCTCGCGAAAATGCGCAGGTCACCTTGGAGGGGAGAAAAGCCTACTTTTTTTTAAACCACATTTTCTTCCCTTCTCGCTCTACACACTACCTGTTAGTAACCTCGGCCACAGCCATGATTCTTTCTCCCATCCCCTAGGCTGATAGTTCCCAAATCTCTATCTTTGGTCCAAGTCTGAGCCCCAGACTCAGCCTTCTGGACACCTCCTCCCAGGTGTTACATGGACGCCCCAAACTCAGCATTTCCTACGCTAAACTCAGGATCTTTGCTCCAAATCCGCTCCTTTTCCTGATTCCCTGGATCAGCGATGCACTGCACCATCCACCCAGTGCCCAAGCAAGAACCTGACACTCACCCTCGACTCCTCTCTTGAAAGCCTGGTCCTGGTCCTTTCGAGTTTGCCTCCCAAGTGTCCCTGAACCCTCTCATTTCTCTCTTCTCTACTATCACCCCTCGGTTTGAGCCATCGTCACCTTTCTCCTGTAAAACTGAAATAGCCTCTTGCCTGGTCTCTCTGCCTCCTGTTTTGCTTTCCTTCCTCCTTCCATTCTCAGAGGACTTATTCTAAAATCCAAATCTGGTCTATGGCCATGCCAACCTGAACAAGCCCGATCCCGTCTGATCTCGGAAGCTAAGCAGGGTCGGGCCTGGTTAGGACTTGGATGGGAGACCACCTAGGAAGACCAGGTGCTACAGGTGTAAAAAAATAAAAAAAATAAGGGATTGTAAGCTGACAAGGTCCTTGCAATCTGTGAGCTTGCCTTGCCTAAAAATAAATAAAACAATAAATAAAGTAAAATCCAAATCTGGTCCTGTCATTCCTTGGCTTAAAATCCTTCTGCGGCTTCTTACAAAGTCCACAATCCGTAAGGTGGCCTCAGATGCCTTCCCCAGTCTCGCCTCCCAGCACGTTCCTCCTCGCTCCTCTGCCACGTGAGTAACAATTCCACATACCTACTCCAGCGCTTCAACCTCTCTTTCCTCCAGGATCCCGCCCCACCCCCCGTCTCTACCTCTTTACCTAATTCCTGCTCACGCTTCATCTCGCTTCCTCCTGGTACCCTCCCCTGACCAGCCCTCAGTCTGCGTTTCAACCACTGCTCGTGGGCCCCAGAGTCTTTGCTGACCGCTGTCATCACCCCTTTCATGCTATGTTCATATTGCCTGTCTACCTGTTTGTAAATCCCATTACACTGACCTTTAGTGGACAGTGATGCCAGTGCCAGAATAAGGCCTGGTAGATAGCGTGACAAAGTACAACCTGGTGTCAGTCGAGGAAGACAGGCCCGTGCCGAAGGGAGCTGGGAGAGCCCAGGGGATGTGGAGGGGTCATCAGAAGTCTCCCTCCAGCTCCTACTGTGCCTGGATATGACTGACTCAGCTGGGCTGGTGCTGGGGGCTGGCCCCCAGCCATGACCGGGACTTCCCAGGGCAGAGATGTCTAGGAGTCAAATGTCAAAAGTACAGAGGTCACGAAAACAACAGCACTGACCTGAGAGGATGAAAAAGATGCCAGAGACAAAGGCCAGTATTGTCCTGTGGGGTCGGATGTGCCCGATGTTGCTCAGGATAAACCCGATGAACATGAAGAAGAGGCTGACCAGAGGGAAGGGTGTGGCCGAGCGGATCATTTCTAATTGAGGGGACACAAGGTGCTGTCATTCTCCAGGGGCCTTGCTCACTGCTCGCCCTCCTGAGTCGAGTGATCCTGGCAGTGTCTACCATTTGGTCACCAAAGCCACACCCTGCATGAGCTCCCTGGGCTCCATCCCCTCTCTGGGTGGCCTGGGGCCCTCACCGAACACTGAGTCCGCCAGTGCCTTGATCTTGGACTTCTAGCCTCTTGGGCTGAGAGAAATAGGTTTGTTGTTTATAAGCTTCCTAGTCTGTGGCATTCGTGATGGCAGCCCGAACCGACTCGTGCTGTGGATTTGGGTGCCCTCTCACTTGTCTGGGTCACAAGACTGGGAGACTCCAGCAACCTGTCACCAAACACTGGACAAATAATCGGCAGAGCAAGTTCTGGCGAGCTCGAGCCAGCACCACCATCGGAGTCTAAGGACATTAGCTCCTGAGAAGCAAGCTGGTCACACTGACTCTGCCCTCTATGCTGCTCTGCTCTGTCCAGCCAGTGGCCCAGGTCGGAACGTGTGAGGCACCTACTTAGAACGTTGACCGTGGACTCGGACGTCAGCTGAGAGTTCATAGGCATCACATACTCTATGGTGAAGCAGCGTCCGCGCTCCTCACCTGTGAAGACAAGCGTGAGCAGGAATTAGGTAAAGTCCTTCTGGAATGTGGATTTGAAGTTCGTATATTCAAATGGTATTTCCGAATGCTTCCAGGACCTTTGACATATGGCATATTTGCACCTGGGCTGGTGCACACCCTAGGGGGTCCTGTCCCCGGCTGGTGGCCCACAGCAGGGGTGGAACATGTCCTGACATTGCATCGCTCCTGGAGAAGCAGCACTGAGTGAACATGGGCCCAGGCAAGCCAGTCGCATGAAACGCGGTCGGCGCTGCACACGCAGGCTGACTCAAACCCCTGGTGGCCGTCTTTGGGACAGACTTGGCACATGCCTGGCTTAGGTTCCCCAGTGTGAGTGTCATGGAGCAGAACCCCAAAAGCCTTGTCAACCACTTTGGAAGCCAGATCCTCATGACTCCAAACTTTGTTTCAGATTTAAGCAGATACTGATGTCTCATGGTCTAGGGCGGCGGGGGGTGAGGTCGGTGTTAGATGCCGTTCCCAAAGCAGACACAAGTCGTTGGGAGGCCAGGCCTTGAGGTGTCCTCCCTGCTAAATACTGGCAGGTGCCAGCCACCATGCCCATCCCCCAAAGCCCTATCATGAAGCTGGGAGGACCAAACGATCCCTCTGCTCAGTGCACGCTTAGCTTCCAGGGCCATTCAAGAAAGACCCAGTGACCAGACTGTGACAGCTTTGGCCAGCTGAGGCTTATGGCTAGTCTCGCGGGATATGGAGATGCTCTTTCTGTGCAGGCTGGTCCTGGGCCATGACACAGGAATAAAGGACAGAGTGCCTACAGCGGCAGCTCCAAGGGCTCCAGAGAAGCCCTAGCAAGCTGGTGGGAGGCCCAGGCAGGTGGGATCAAAAGCTGCCCCATCCTGCAGAGCTGGGAAGAGCTGCACCTGAGTTTTCTCTTCGCCATTTCATGGACCTAGGAATAGGAAACGACTAAGTTTTGCCCACCCTGTAAGCTAGTGGATGTAAGCGATGCTGAGTCAAGGAGACGCACCTCCCTGAATCTTAATTTCCTCATTTGAAAGGTGGCAATAATAACAAGTCCGGCCTTGCAGTGCTGTGGGCAGGCGGTGAGATCACGGAGGCAGTGAGCTAAGGTGCACGGGGCACTTTCGGCCCTGCCCGCCATCCGCCTCCCTCAGCCTGGAAGACGGAGTGTGGGGAAGGTGTGGTTATCTTTTTCGCTCAGGTGGGAGACCCAGGTCCTTGAACGATGAGACTTGCTCAAATGGACACCACCAGTCAGAGCTCGAGTTTGCAAAGGGTCCTGGTCGCTGCAGGGAGCACTGCCCAGACCCGATGAGGACTGTCGTGGGGAACTAGGTCCTTCCAGCAGGGGTGTCTCTTCCCAAGGGTCAGGGGCGGGCTCTTGGACAGATTTTCCCAGGGGAGGGGCTGCTCCTCTCTCCAGGGCGGGGCTGCCCACACCCCCGGGTGCCCTTACCTGCCAGGAAGCAGACACGCCACAGGCCGGAGTGCAGGGACATCTTGATCTCTGTGCTCTGGTTCTGGGGCAGGACCACGCCCTCCTCCAGGTACAGCCAGTAGTCGGTGCTGACGGCGATGCCCAGGAGGCCCAGGCCGCAGACGGCAAAGACGCTGCTCAGCAGGGTCAGGGCCTTCCTCCCGCAGGCACTCATCTCCCCAGACGGCCAAGTGGGCGGCCTGCGGCCGAGTCCCACCGACAAGAAGGGGCTCTGGGGGCAGGAGAGAGGGTGAGCGGGAGGCAGCAGCCACGGCTCCTGGAAGACAAGATGAGGGGCCTTGGGAGGTAACTAAAGTGAACCCCACTTGGCTAAACTAATGAATAAAGACCGACGGGCAGCTCCCTGGACGCCAGGCCATTGAGATATGGGTGCCATCCTCTTCTCCCTTTTCTGACAGGCCACTCCCACCCTCTGCAGTCCCCTTGCTGGATAACGCTTCCCTTTTCTGACAGGCCACTCCCACCCTCTGCAGTTCCCTTGCTGGATAATGCTATTCGTTCATTCATTCATTCATTCATTCGTTCGTTCATCCAGTAATTCGTTCATTCATTCATTCATTCATTCGTTCATCCAGTAGCTCATTGTGCTCAACATGAGAGAAAAAGATGAACACTGAACGTGACACTATACTTGACCTTGAAGGCTTCCTGCCTAGAAGAACAAAGGCAATTAACATGCAGCTTGATGGAGACTGCGGTAGGTCTCTGCCCAAGACCTCGGGGAGCAGGGAGGAGGGATGGAGGAGTGAGCTCTGCTGGTGGGCTTCTTGGTATTGAGAAGGACTCTGAGGTTCAAGTGCACCCCGCAGAGAGCTGCAGGATCCAGTCAAGGGATTGGCAGCAGCCTTGGGAGGAGGCTGAAGGCAGAAGAGGGTGTCTTGGGGAGGTGTCTTCCTCATGGACTCCAATCAGTTGTAGTTCTAGGTCAACACAAGTAAAGAAGCCTCGCCACAGTCTAAGTTCAACGGGCCTCCTAAAGCCACCTAATCAGAAACCGTCTGACTCTTGCCTGCTCAGCACACAGTATTGGCAGGAGCCAGTGCTGAACCAGCCAGAGAGAAGCCAAGAGTCTATGCGGGGTGAGCCACGAGCACACCTGTTGATACCTGCCGGGGCCAGGCATTGGGCTTGGACCTGAGAAAACGTGAGAGATGAGGCAGAGGGATGTCGGCCCCCACAGATCCCGCAGCCCAGCTCAGGGCTCTGAACTCTGGCTGCAGTCTAGCGTCCCCAAAGGAGCGCCTAAAAGTCCCCAGAGTTTCAGAGTGCCTGGGTGCCACTCTGAAAGATTTTGGTGCAACTGGGCTCAAATGGAGCTAATGATATTTTTTAAGCGATCCCAGTGATCTAATGTGCAGCCCAAGTTCAGAACTATTGATTTTTGTGCTCAGAGTGTGAACCACGGATCACCTGGGAGCTTGTCCAAAATGCAGCATCTCAGGGCCCTCCAGATTTCCAAATCTGAATCTGCACTGCAATGTGGAGAGTTGTATACCTGCTAAAGTCTGAGGAACACTGTGCTAAGCACACAGGTGACTACACTACAGTGTAGTACCTACTATGACAGGGAAGCCCAGGATGTGATGAGAGCCCAGAGGAGGGTCACCCAGTGGGACTGAAGGGGGCAGACAGAGACACCTCTAGAAGAGGGTGGGGCCTGGGCACCTCAATGTGTCTTGCCTAAGCCAGTCATGCTTGCAACATTGCCAAGATGTCAACCCTTGCAATCATGCAAAACCAGAAATTTTGAAACAGGGTGTTAAGAGTTAAGAGTCAGGTGTCATAGCACCAATGGTGGGGAGGTGGGGTCACCAAGCTCAGGGCCCTGGTGGTGACTCAGGAGCCCTACATAGGGTATGGCAACATATCTCAGCTGAGGCACAAGTGTATCCCGGCTGAGTCAGCAGAAAAGGGAGAGAAGCCACACTCAAGTCTGGAGGCTTGATTTTCTATGGAGTCTGAGCGCACTGTAGGAGAGGGGAGAGAGGGGAGAGGGAAGGAACATGGGTGCTCTCTGCAAGGAGGAGGGAGGACATCTTGGCCCTCATTCCGTATCACCAGCCCTGCCCTATCTGCTGACCACGAGCGAGTTGATGGACCTACAGAATGAGCCCCACGCTAGCTTCCCGGAGGCGCGTGGCAGCCCGTGGGAGCAGAGGCGCCCTATGCAAGGCAGGAGAGCATGGGGGTTTAATCTAAGCCACTCCCTCCTGAGGTGGCTTTGACAAAGAGGGGGAAAATGAAATGCCAAACAGACTGCTCTCTCCACCAAGCCAAGTCGTTCTTCACACGACGGGGTGGGAGGCGGAGCAGGACGGCTTGGCTTCCTGATTGGGTTGCAAGGATGCAATAAAGCGCCTCCTATGAGTGGAGCACAGTGCTCGCTGCGGAAGAGGCAAAAGAATCGGAGGCACTGTGGCTTGAAGAGTTCGCGAGCTGGAAAAACATGCAAGATCAGCAGCAGGACTATGACACAGGGGTGGGGCAGCATCATGACAGGTGGAACCTGGGTCCTGAGGAGGGGTGGTGGGGCGACAGGCAGGCTGCCTCGAGGGGCCCCAGAAACACTGCTGCATGGCTTGGTGGGGCGGGCAGTAATGTGCGGTTGATAATTAACATTTTAACGGGGGTTTGCTAAGTTTTTTCACTTACATTTGAGGCTCCCGGAACCCCAGCTTCTGCCAGAGAGAATGGAATTAGAACCCCAAAGCTGTTTGGTGGGAATAAGGGCAGGAGAGGGGAATGAAGGCACGAGATGCCTGGATGACAGCCCCATGTGTGGCAGTCTCGAGAGGCAGGAAACCCAGACTGCACACTCAACCCTGTCACTAAATAGCTGTGTAACGTTGGCAAATATACCTTTCTGAGGCCCACTCTTCTCCCAGGTAACAGAGAGGAAGAGACCAACCATAAAGCTAAAGTATATCGAAGGTTTACCATTGCTAGGCGTTCTGCTAAGCACTCTACTGTCGATTTAAACGCTTACAACTCTGTTACCACCCTCGTTTCACAGGGGAGCAAATGAAGGATCGCAGAAATTAAAAAACTTGCCCAAGATCACGCCGGTAGCAAGTGGTGGCGCCTGCGTTTGAACTTCATCCTGCTTCATTCTCAAGACCCTTCTCATGCCACCCCTGTGAGTGTTTCCCAAAGTGGGTTCCAGGAGCAAAACTTCCTTGGAATATTCTAGCAAAAAAGAGCTGGTGAAAAAAAAAAGCTTGGGAAGCACTGCATTTAGGTCTTGGAGAATCTCATTGCACATTAATATGTTAAAGGTATGAAAAGCCTGTTTAGTTTTGCTCATTCCACTGTTTTCCAAACTTATCTGTCTACAAAATGGTAACTTGTTCCATGAAACCCACTTTGGGTACGAGGCTGCCTTCTATGAAGAATAATAAGGCCTGCCCTGCCCGCTGCACAAAACTGCTGGGTGATTGAACACAACAGCGGTCTGACAGCGCATTGAAAATTCTAAAGCACGATTCTGATGTAAGGAATTACTATGAAGGAACAATAGGCAAATAAACTCCTGTTCTTGCAAGGCAGACAGATCGGGGCTTTGAAATATGATAGCTGGTACCTGGCCGGAGCGGAACAGCCAATCTCAATGATAAGCTTGGCAGTGAGACCAAAAAGATTCGGGTCTTGGAGGTTTGGAAAGATGAAAGTGGAAAGGAGATTGGATCTGAATCCACAAATGCAAGATAGAAAAGAAGAAACCGAAGCTGATCTGACCTGTCGAACTCTACAAAAGCAGAGCTTCGAGCCTGGAGTAAGCTTGGGAAAAGGGCAAAGTCCCCTTCCGGACGAGGTGACAAATTTATGGAACTCTGTACAGAGTGAAAAATAACAATCTTATTCATTACACAATTGTATATGCTTCTATTATGAAGTCATAGTTATTTATAGATAAATTTCGTTGAATACGGAAAAGCCGCTGATTGTACAGTAGTAGCTCATCAGGACCTCCCCATAAGTAAGAAGTAGTATTAGCCCCATTTTGTAGATGGAGACACTGAGGCTCAGAGATGTTAAGTAAGACGTCACAGGTGGGTGACAGACTGGATTTAAACCTAGGTCTAATTCCAAAATCTGTGCGCTGGCGACACCATCTCCCCACTGAAGAAATACACAGATACAGAAGTGCTGGGTAAAGACACGCCAAAGCAGGTCGCTAGGGAATCCAGAAACGTATGTGACACAATACTTGGAAGACTGTCTTTGCAAACGGCCAAGGGTTGCATCAGGGCTGTTTCTCCCTCCCACGGGGCTGCCTCCTGGGGGTGGCCGGGCTCGTGGAGGTGCGCTCTGACTCAGCGTTTCTGATTCTGAAAACCACGTTTTAGGGCGGGAAGACTAATATTACCCTCGAAACACATATAAGAAAATCAAGGCCCAGTGCGGAATGACCTCGCCAGGTCCGTGGAGGGATGAAAGTGTGAACTGGACACCTTTGGAAAGCGAATCCAATGTGTTTTTCTTTCTCTGGACTGCATGGAAAATTACAAAAGCAGAAGATGAAAATTACCCATTCCGCCCCATCTTGACAACGACACCATTAGTGACATCTTCGTTCATTGCCTTCCGGGCTTTTTTCCCATGTGACTGCGTGTGAACACACATATTCTCCCACCCGATGTCTTCGGTTGGTGCAGGCAGGGCTGGGGGCCACCGGAAGACACTGGTTTGGAATAAACGTGTCATTCCCACAGGGTCAGGATAAGCTTGGCAGTGAGACCAAATGATAAGCTGTTTGGAATAAACGTGTCATTCCCACAGGGTCAGGGCTTTGTCCAGCTTTTGCTTTTACGTGACTGCTTCCCCTTCCCATACCATTCATTTCATTTCTCTGACGGGGAAGGCAGCTATTTTTTACAAGTTGCTACCACCAGAGAAGATATTTAAGCTATAATAGTAAATGCATTAAGTTGGATGCAAAACCACATGTATTATATGAATTCAACTGTGAAAAAAATTCATAGACCAGGAAGAAATAAACAAAAATGTTGATGGTTGCTGCTTCCAGGTAATAAGGTTATATATATTTAATTTTCTTTATGCTTTCCTGTGCTCGACAAAATTTCTAATTTAATTTTCTTTATGCTTTCCTGTGCTCGACAAAACTTCTAAAAAAAAACCAATGTATTATTTCTATATCC